CTGTACTCGGAGATTAAGACAATGTGTAGCATAGGCATCTCTTAAACAATTTCCCTGACTTCACCAAAGGACAGAGGCCCCCTTGGCTTAAGCAGTTGTGTGTTATTGCTTTTCATGTGTGCCCAGCTCACTGACAGTATTCGTTTGAGCCAGGAAACTCATTTTTTGTTTTTAGAGCTTTTTACTCTGGAGGATCCTGACATCAGTTGCTGATGTACTAGCCAAAATTGCTACTGTTGTACTGGGAATAACAGTAGAGGTGATGGCAGTATACAGTAGCCGGTAAAAACAAAGACATGACATGAGCTACTGAAATCTGAGATAGACAGAAAGGACATTTCAGCACTCTCAGCCCTTGTTTGGGGCTTTCTAAGGGTGCAGGCAGACTGCAGCCCTGCTACTAATTGGCCAAATGACAACATGGAGCAGAGCACTCTCCACAATGGACATCTTTCAAAACGTATTGTGAAATGAGAAAGACATAATACAGGATAATTGGATTGAATTTTTGCAAGGAAGAATCAGTGGAACATATTCACTACACTTTTTAAAAGTTCTTTTCTTTGATGTGGCTTTTATTATGAAGGTATTGCCTAGAAGGAATGACTGAGGCAGGAAAACAATCTGTAAGAAGATTGGTAATATAAGAAGGACCAGGAGGGATATGAAAAGGATAGAAGATGCAGTGCTGCTAAGTTGAAAACTCTCTGAGAATAGGAGGAGACCCATTTTTGCTTCAGTGCACACAATTAAGCACAATGTTTTTGTTGGACCAATGCCTAAAGACCATAAGTGAGAAGACATATGATTCATTGAAGTACATTAGTCAGGCAGACAAACTTATTTTGAAGACTTCCATGTAGATATGGTGACTGTTATTGTAAGAGAATACTGTCTGGATTGTTTAAAATACTTCATCTTTCTCATTGTATTTTACACATTGCAATTTGCTTGGTAATATGATGTCCTTACGGTAATTGTGATACAATATTGCACTTCAGCAAAGAAAATACAACTGAGTTTTAACACTACGGCTGTTATTTCTAACTGCTCACACCTGCATATAGAATTTTTTTATTCTTTTATGGTATATGTATGTCTGTGTTTATTATATATACACACAATAAACATTTATATTGACAAATACATTTTTTATATTCTAACAATTTGGGAAGGTTACAAAATGTAATGATTAGAAAGGTCCCTAATAATTCAAGATAAATACATGGAAACAGAGGAAATTATTTGTTTAGCAAAAGAGATGCTTAAACTGACTTGTACTGCTCAACTAGGCCAGGCTTCATTACAAATAACTTTGAAAGGTTATTTGATATTTAGACATCTTGCCATTTCCTTGACGTAATTCTTATAGACCAAAGTTTGTCTACATGTAATTTGCAGGATCAGAGCCCTCAAAATTTAATTAAGGATCCTTGAGTTTTCAACTTCAGATACGAAGTAATAATCTACCTTTTACTCTCTTGTTAGACACCTTTTTCAAGAATGGATATAGTTTCTTAAAGTTCACTGTAATTTTGCACCAGCAATATTTGACATATTTCTCATGCTTCATCACTGACTGGGTCACACGTTAGCTGACAGTGACTTGTCTTCACAGTGCTAGGGTTAATTCTGTGTATCAAACATGGAGACTATGATGTGAGAAGCAAACTTGAAAACTATGATGAAAGAAGAAAGTAAGCTCTTTCTTAAGGTATTCTTCTAATGTGTTCTTTCGTAATCATAAAAAGAAACAGAATTTAATTTAAATCCCTTGATTCCCATCAGCTTCTGTAGATGTAGGGTTTCACCTGTAACCTCTGCTCATAACTTGTCTGAGCACAACTTCTAGCACAACTTGGTAAGGTAATATATAAACATGTATATATTATCTTCTTGGTTTTTGCAACTGTTGAACTCTGAAGTGTTCCAGAAGGAGACCCCTTCTCACCTTTCTGAAGGGGTACAGTCTCTTCATTCAGTTAAGCATCATGGTTGGCACCAAAAAGTAGGACTAATTTTCACTGTCTTTCACTCTTCTGCTCGCTCTCAATATTTCTTAATTCTGCATGGAAGTTGGGAATAATTGCATTTTATGATCTATCTTATTTTTGTATTTAACCTACAAGTAAATACCATTTAAGTAATGCGTTTTATAATCTACAAGTAAATGCCATTTAAGCAGTGAGGATTATTTTAGTTCTCTTACAGCTGCAAGAAATGATTCAGTGAGGTACCGTATTTTATGTTGCTGTGCTGAAAAAGACATTTATGGATATTTTTCCATTTCTTTCGTCTTACTCTTGCAAGGAAAGATAATGGCAAACCTTTTTTTTTTTTTTTTAAGGTTCCAGTTCAGTTGTAAAAGTTCAGCATAAGCTAATTTGGAGCTGGTTAAACGCTTAGGAGCAATCTGTCTGCTCTCACATAGGACTACCATTAACATGGCAGCTACAGTTATATTGAAACAAGCTCAGATGGCTTCATGTCCCCACAGAGGATGGAGATTTAAACTTTGAAATAAAAAAATGCATAAAGATCTTCTTCAAGCAGAGGCTGGGTAAACTGGCAGCACTCTGTGGGAAATGAGTAATGGACAACTCTGCTTAGCAGCCATCATACTTGTAAATTTGAGCAACGTGTTTCTGCTTTGGAGCAGTTTCATTCATATATTTCAGAACACTGAAAAGGTCACCAATTTCTCCGTAGGGCCTCATTGTATATTCCTTATGCAGCCAACACTCTGCTTGAGTTGAGGTTTGTGGAGCTGTAGCTGTGAGAATTTGGAGGGAAGAGAACTATGGATGCAGGAGACAAACCTGGGGTGCTCTGCCAACAATTCTGTGAAGAAAGTTGAGCTGTGTATCAAACTAGTATCAACATTCATAATTCAGTATTAAGAACCATGTTCTGACTACCTTTCTAATATTTGAAGAATGACATTATTAGTTAGGGAAAACAAGTGCAGTCAGAATCTGGAGCTGACTGCTAATTAAATTTGACTAGAAACTGTAAAAATAGTTGACATGATAGTGACATGAGGATGTACTGTGTAATGTCATTTTTAATACGTCATTGTAACTTGACACTGGTCCTTCAGCTGAATAATAATTAACATCTCTTGACTGTTTGTATTTGGCTTACAGTATGTCTCAATGTTATGTGTTGGGAATTGTAAAAGGTGCATGATTGTGCTGTTTCTGTTCAAGTTGTTTCTAATTAATAACTTCACTGTCCAGTGTTCTTTCAATAAGGGTACCTAATACAATAGTTACATTATTTTAGGTATAGAGAAACTGGCTTTTCAACCAAACTGAATGATGCATCTCAATATACAAGAGCGTATGCATGTGTGTATATCTGTGCATGAATACACATACATATATATGCATTTATTGGTTTAGACAAGGTCTCTCACTTCTTTCCTACTCACCTTGAGCTTCTGAAATCTCAGGCATCTGGAAGGAATCATGACTTTTCACGAAAGCTGAAAGTCATAAATCTCGAGATTAATTAATATACACTCTTACTGTATTATTCACTAGAACTTCCTCTCTCCCCAAAATTCAGCACATTAAATAACATTAAATAAAGGTCTAATGACTAACAGATGTCAGATAATTCAGGATTCTTCTACCTGCATGAGTGGCTTAGTGAGTCGAATGACTGCGTCATTTTATCCCTTTGATCCTTTGAATTTGTAGCCACTAAATTACATAGGTGTTTTTTTCTTCTTCTGGTTCCACAATAGAAAGCATTTACCTTTCTTTTATGTTCTAAGTGTCTTCTATTGTTTCATGCCAGAAACAAAATACTGACCTTTGTGGGTCCTTGGGCTGACACAGCGTAGTTGCTTTCCATTTGTTCAATTCTCTAGTAGCTAAATTTTGACTATTTTTCTAGAGTCTTAATAATTCCTCTTTCAAGTAAGAAAGGAGTTGAAGTTCAGCAGTAAAAATATAAGGAATTTTTCAGGTTGTTAACTTACTAAATGGAAGACTATCTTTCTTATAAGTGTTTAAATAATTAGAGAAGAAATTAACTCTGAATATTCATACTAATGCCAGTGGGTTTTGTATAAGGTTTTATCTTATACTTCAAATACTATTCTTAAAATATATTTGCAACATAAAATAAATGTAGAAAAGTTAGTATTAACTCTTTGAATAATAAAGATACTTTCAATGTAATACATAAATCTTAATAGCAATGCACATACAAATCTATTTTAGCTAAATGATATCAAGTAGCCAAAATATATTTGGAACTGTGACAGGATTTGTGAGCTTTCTCCTTTGAAAGGATGCTCCTGGCTTTGCATTTCAAACACTGCCTTTTGTAGCAGGTGGACAAAAGTAATCTTTTTTTTTTTTTTTTTTTTTTTTTTTTTAAAGAAAGCCAGCTAATTGCATGTCTGCCTCACATTCAGTTAAATCTTTGATGATGGGCTTTGAAGAGAGTGTTTTATGTTTTGCTTTCTTTTGTTTGGGCTTTGGTTTTGGTTTGGGGGTTTTTGGTTTGTTTTTTACTGTCAGTCTTTGCTGAGAAGTTCCTGATACCACTGTTAAAAGTCAACTGTTCTTTGAAGGAAGCTTTGAGAAAATCTCTACTTTGAAATAGAAACTGGAAAAGTGCAAAGCTACTGGGAGGACAGTGCCTTCCTCCCCGTTGCCTGAGAATTAATTTTTTTTTTATGCGAAAGCAAAGAAAGTCTTGATAGAAAAACTAATGGTAGCATGATAGACTAAAACAACCTTATTTTGGTCTGAAAACAATATACTGTTATACAGTAATATACTGTATTTATTGAATTGGGGTTGCTTGAGTATTTTTTCCATTGTTTTCCAAGCATCATTCGAAATACAGTTTTCTGTTTGGTCACTACTTGGATAATGTGAATGGTACCCATTATTGAAAGGTAGTCTGTATTTGTACTAATACAGAGAATGCCAGTTTAGAAATGAGCCTGATTGCATGGTTCATTTTGTTCTCCTTTGTAGAGCCAGGCTGCGGCCCACTACAAAGGCACTAAACATGCCAAGAAGCTCAAAGCACTGGAAGCCATGAAAAATAAGCAGAAATCTGTTACTACCAAGGACAGCGCAAAGACTACCTTCACTTCCATCACTACCAATACCATCAATACCAGCTCTGACAAAACAGGTTAAGCGACAATCTTTGTTGGTTTTGTTTGTTTTGGTTTTTTTCTTGTTTAATTCCATGTCTGTTTGGTTATGTGCTTGCCACATTGATTCATGCTCGATCCATCTTTCTGTGTGATATTGATTTCTTTTAGTCCTTTCAGTGGGCTGGTAAGAGTATGATAGTCATGTAACCAATTTCTCTTAGTGAAAAGAGGCTTATCATTGTTTTAGGGCAGAATGCAATACTCATGACTTGATTAATTTTTATAGTGGCTAAACTATTACATATCAACTGATCTAAACCTTCTAGTCTGTATGCAGTATCCCTCTATAAATAATTACATACGGCACATTTCTTTTAACCACAAACAATGTAGTAAATTGCACTACTTGTGTCTAGAAGCCTCTTACAAAAGCATTGTTAGTTAAAACCTAATTTCATAAATTTCAAACATTGCATTATTTTTTTAAAATGGCTATTGCATGGTTTTGAGCTGGAAAATAGCTGTATAACTTCTGTTCCGCACAAGCAGGTAAGTGCTATTGATGCCAATTATTCTGCTTAAATGAGTCTTCAGACTGAAATAATATCCTTTAAATTATTGTGTGGTAAAAGATACTCCTTTGCAAATAAAATCTATGTGAGTATTTGGTAAAGTCAACAGGATTTGATTAAGCTCGCATTTTAAATATGTGGCTATTGTACTGGAAATTTCAAAGGAAGGTTGTAAGTTCACTGAAGGGTAGTCCAGTATCTCACAAGGTATGACTGGTCTTGTGTATGAAGGAATACAGTTTGCGTACTTAATCATAATCAACCCCCCTTCCCCAAACAAGCCAAAAACAGCCACGGCACAAAAGCCAAAGCTGTGAAACAACAGAGACCTTTCTACTGATGGTGAAAACTGCTCATTTGGAACCACTTCTGATGCAGTAAGTTTAGCATTGTAAATGGATGTGCACTAGCCATTATAGTATAACAAAAAATACCTTGCAGACATGTGTAGTACTTTCCTTAAGATACATCTTTGCTATATTTGTTACAGACAGATACTTCTATGTCTGTCTCTCTGTATATGTATCTTTGTTATAACCCTTTATTATAGACAGCATATGTTTTTATGGCGGTTTATATCCTAATTATAATGGGATGGCTTTAAAAAACAATCATTACATTATTGTCGTGTTTATTAGGAAAAAAAAATAAAATATTCCAAGTACTTTTGTTTCTATGATGAAAGAAATGAAGGATGGGAGAATCAAAAGTTATTTATGAAAATATATGTGTTTCTAAACATACAAATACCTTTAAAAGTTTCCCCTGCTGTTACCTGTTGGCACGTTCAGAACAGAAAGGAGAAG